GATTGCACTCCAAAATCTAGGTTTCTAGATCTAGGTTTCTCTTCCTAGAATAAAATATTTCTGTTTTTGTGTTCAAAGACCTTAAAGACTGCTTTTAAAAACATACAGTAACTCTAATGCGATAGAACTGCTTAACCTTAGGAAGTCAACCATATTTTAAAACATTCTATAATATTAAGTTATTGGGTTGCTAGGTTAATTAGAAACAAGTCATAATAAAATCAGTTAAAGCACTGGGTAATTAACTATTTTACTGCCACAAGTTAAATGTAACGTAATGTAGTTATAATATATGGTAGTGTTGGTGAACCTTTTCAGCACTGAGTGCCAAAATTGGAGTGCACAGGTGTGGGAGCACCATAAACTGGAAGAGCAGCTCCACGCTGCTCATGTGCACCAGTCACCTGATCTCCCAGCAAAGACCAGGTGGCAACCAGAAGCTGAGCTTCCCGGTGCCACGCATGTGTGCCAGGGAGCTGCTCTTCTGGTTTCTGGTGCTCCCACACACACAAAGACCAGTTGGCCAATGCACATCTGCACACCAGAACCCAGGAGAGCAACGGGCAACAGCTGGCGTGCCTGGAGAGATGTATTTGTGTGCCAATCCTGACATGCATGCCATAAGGTCACCATCATGAATATATGATGTTACAGTGGTGATTTTCCCCCAAGAAACCTCTGGTAAGATGTGGAGGAATATTCTATGGGAGTACAACAATTTACACTGAGTGTTTCACCAACAAAAGGCAGCAAAATGTTTGACTGCTTCCTTCCTTGTTGGGACAATGCCTGATCATTCAAGAAATTTATATAAAAAGAGGACTCATTGTATCATGATCTTTTAAATGTTAACAAAAATGAATATTATGGGAGCATAAAAGAAGCATAAACTAGTGATTTGTGATAAAAAGAAATAACTCATATAATATATATAATTAACATGACAAGCCAACTGCAATTAAAACCCCATAATTATAACTCCAATCAAGCCATTTTAAGATTGATGTAAACTCATAAGGCACTTTGTATGGGAATTAGCACAAAGTATTGATTTTATGGATACTTTGAGCAAAATATGAGTTTAGGAGAAGCTAAAAAATGCTATGTCATCACAAATTCTGTCAGAGCCAAGAAGTTCTTGATGCAGTAGCATCCATAGGAGCTTTCTGTTTTTATCAGAAGAAAGAAAACAACACTCCACACCAAGAATGCAACATTACAATAGTCATATAGAAGGGCTTAGGTTATCAGCTCACAATGTTGCTATCATAATTTTTTGCCTCCAGTTAATAGGCTTATTCTGTAGTTGGCAAGAATTTTTAAAAAAATGTCATTTAACAGCCATTTTAAGTAGGATTCATGAACCAGGAAATGAATCATATCCATACTTTCTCAGGTTAATTCCTGGTTCAAATATGTCCATTAACCTTCTACATCTTTCTTATCAACTTTTGGTTCCCTTTCAAGTGTGTGAATGGCTGTGATTTGATTTGTTTTTAACCTACTCTAGAATGGTTCCCTGATGGCCAGGATTTGTATTATTCCAGATAAATTGATATTTTCTTCACAACCTTGAATGACCAGTTGTTGAACAAAAGTTTACAGCAGTTACTAGGATATTAGAAATGCTGCTAATTGAGAACATAGGGACCTTTGAAGCAGTGGTGGGGTCCTACTGGTTCGGACCGGTTCAGCTGAAGCGGTGGTGGTTTGGTGGTCTGGGTTGCTGGAACCGGCAGCAACCTAGGCTTGCCACGCCCCCGAACCAGTTTTCCGGGCAGCATCTTAGGCACCACCATCTTGTTTTTCAGTTCTGAACATGCACAGAACAATTTTAATAGCACCGCACATGCGCACACAGAGCATATCAAGCGTGCAAAGCACATGCAAGCATGGAGCACACACACGAGCAAACTGGCAGTAGTGCCTGCTGGAACCCTCTGCTCTGAAGTACCTTTGAAGTAAAAGAATTACTGTGGGAAAACCACTGAGTGAGCTGTGGAAGCATAAACAAATAGGGGCCTTTATTAACAGTGTCACCCATTTCCTGTTTATTTTTTTTTCAACCATGCAAGCATGGCAGACAGAATGTGAAATGACTTAATTTTCTATCCTCCATTGCTGATCTTAATGCTGTTTTATTAACTGTGGATATAACTATAAATCTGTCAACATGGGTACACAAATTAATTGTACTAAAAAAATGAGTCTAATATATACTGAGTTAAAACATATTCTTATTATAATGATAATCACTTGGATAAGACATATAGTTTAATTCTTTCTTTCTTTCTTTCTTTCTTTCTTTCTTTCTTTCTTTCTTTCTTTCTTTCTTTCTTTCTGTATGTACGTACGTATGTATGTATGTATGTATCCCATAAAATTGTTATTTTCATTTAAAATGAATTTTGCTTTGGCACAAAGTTCATGTAATTAATGTCTCAATTCCTGCTGATTTATTTCAGAAAAAGAAATCACAATAAAACAATCTACCTCTGTTTTTGCATCACTTAAATTTTCTCTAATGGACTTCACAGTTACATTAAGTGTTCATTTTTATCTCAGAGTTTAGCAAGATTTATAATTAACAATAAAAGACAATTGTGCAAACATATCCTAAGAAACTATTCCCGATGTAGATGAGAACCAACTAGGCAGTAAAAGCATCTTAAAGTACTCAAGTATTAATACATTTTAATTTTCACCAATTAAATACTTATATGGATTTCTTCTTGTCTTTTAAAAGTTTATCAGTTAAAGTCTTTGCCCAATGTTGCTATTTAAATACATGCCAAGGTATACATCTGGGTTATTGTATTTTCCCTAACATTGCAGAAAATAAGGCTGTGTAACATTTTGCAACATCCAAAAACATTCTCCAACTAATTAATTGTAATAAAACAAATATTAAAATTCCTAAAAATAATTGTCCAAATTTTTTGTTTATGTTATTAGCTAATACTTTTCTGTGATTTTTTATTTTTATTAATGCAAACAAATCTAGCATAAAAGCTATATATGAAACAGAATTTAGAAAAAAATAAAAAAAATAGAATAGAAAAGTATTTCAATAACAATGAACACTCAATTTAGCTGACAGGTAATGATAGATAGATAGATAGATAGATAGATAGATAGATAGATAGATAGATAGATAGATAGATAGATAGATAGA